CTTTGGATGGCGCCCCAGCGAGGAACCGGCCAGCCTGCAGGCCAGAGGCAGAGGCCTTAGCACGGCTGGCCTGCCCGTGTCTCCCGGCCATTAATAAAAAGACTGTGGACTTCCAGTGCTGTTTGAGCATTTCGTCCCTGTCCCACACTGCCCTGCTGCCCCCCAGACACCCATAGGGTACCCGCTCTGCCGGGCCCGGCACGAGGCCCTGTGGAGCCCTGCTGCCCCCCCCGGCCCCCAGGGAAACCCGGCTGGGCTGCCCACGCACCTCTGGGGAGCCCCACCACCCCCCAGGCAGCTGTGGGGGCTGCACCGGGTCCCGCTTGCTCCTCTGGGGAGCCCTGCTGTCTCCCAGGCCCCTGCAAGAGCCCCAGGAGGACCTGCACAAGGCCCTGGGGAGCCCTGCTGTTCCCCAGACAGATGGAGGAGCTCCGCTGGGCCCCTCTCAGGTCTCTTCTCTCCCCAGCTACTGACCCACAGCCGGTTTTTTTCCTTCTTAAACCCATTACCCCAGAGGCGCTTCCACTGTCGCTGATTGGCTTGGCCTTGGCCAGCAGCGGACACAGGGAAAACTTCTGGCAGCTCCTCACAGAAGCCACCCCTGTAGCCCCCCCACTACCAAGACCTTGCCACACAACCCAATACAGGGACTCAGAGAACAAAGGAAATGTGTTTAATCACCACAAGGTTAATATAAAAAGGGCCCAAGACAGTGCCAGAGCAGAAATGATGTCCTCCGACAAACCAGACTTAGCTTGTGTGGCAGAAAACCCCATTTTTTGGGTGGTGTGTCCCATGCCTGCGTGAAACCTGGTCAAGCCATCCCATGCAATCACTTGACCTGATGTGTGCTGGGCAGGGAAAGTTACAGCAGAAAAGAGTTTCCAAGGAATTTTATTTTTCTTTTGTTCCTTAGAAAAGCGCAATACGGAGTGCGAGCTCCCGTCAAGGCCACACAGAACGAATTAGGGCTGCAGACGTATTGATTAGAAAAAGGCCACCTCGCAGCTGGCTTGGCCGGGCGACTGCACCGCAGAGCATAAGGTGTGGGTAAGCCTCAGCCCCTGGCCATGAGCTGGCCTCATTCCCCCAACGCTGCCTTCACAGATCCTCCAGTTTCTGTGCCTGGTTTTCAGCAGCCGCATTTACCCTAACATTTTCCCACAGCCTGGACCAAATTGCCCTCCCACAAAACGCTAACGACCTCAGCAGCTTCCCCTTCCCTCTTCTCTAAAGCTGTGGTTTTCAAGACCTGAGCTGTCTGCTGTCAGCAAGGCTGATTATTTTCTGCATGTTGAAGGGCATAGGACGTATGCTGGTGGTGGCAACCTTCCCATCCCCTGCATTGACGCGGGGTCGTGCCCTCAACAGCAGCAATGGGCATTTTGGGGAGCGCTGGACTTTGCCCCCTGCACCCATCCTGGATGAATTGTTCCTTCACAACCCAGAAACGGGAACCATGTGTGGTATTGGCCACCGAAACCATTCCCCTGGCCATGTGGGGTGCTGCATGGGGCAATCTGTGGGGCGATGTGCAGGGTGATGTGTGGGCTGCTGCTTGGGACGATGTGGAGGTTGCTCACCGTGCAGCAGCCTGGGGGTGGCCACAGCCACCCCCCACTTTCCCCATCAAGCCATTTTGTGGAGGAAGGCGGGGGGGTGTGTCGTTTCGTCCTTATTTCAGGGGGCACAGGCAGAGAATGGGGGCTGCAGTCCCAAGGTCATGGTGTGCACACCAGTTGAAGAGGACTAAGATAATGAGCCAGGTATATATTAAAAATAATAATAATAATAAAATCACACTTTGCTTTTGATTTGGCTTTTGGAAGCTGGGACAGTAGAGGGCACTCAAATATTCTGACCGAGCAGTTCCTCTGCCTGAGTCTCATGCACACACCCGCTGAGACAGAAAGTGCCTGACCAGGGCACCCCGCTCAGGGGGAGAGGCGGCTGCAGGTGCCCCAGGAGCTTCCACCGAGGCCACGGTTTTCTGGCGCCTGTCCTCCATTGCAATTGTGTCCCACAGGGTCCGATTCTCCATTGCTTGCACCAGCCTACAGCCACATTCACCTCTACCAGAAGGAGTTAAGCAGCCGTCCTGATCAGGCAATGGCTAGCATGTGCTGGGGACAGGTATGAAGAGGGAGGCAAGACGGCCAGCGGATGCCCTAGGGGGCACATGGCACCCCCGAGGCCCCCGCGTGCTTTTCCCTTGGTCACCCCTGCCAAGGTGGCCTGACAGCCCCCCTGACCACACGAAGGGGTGGCGGAAGGCCTGCCTATTCCTGGTAGAAACACGGAATTCACTGATTATTCCCCAACTCTAGGCAATTGTCACACTATATTTCTGGGAAAATGATTTTTAAGAAGTCTGGTGGTAACTACAGGGGGAGAGAGCCCGAGAGCATGGCTGTGCCTGTGCTTGTCTGTGTGTGAACTGGCAGCAATACTACATCCCCAGCTGAAGGGAACATTTTTACTGATACACGCAACTCTTTACTCCTGCCATATCACTGGGGTTTCCGAATAGTGTTAATTTCCCTGCCAAGTGCTTATTAAAGGAATTTGTAGGGGGAGGAAAGCTGTGATGCACAGACCCCAGCCAGTGTTGGGAATACTTCTCTTAGCCTCACAAGATTTCTGAGTCACTCGATTCCCGTCTGCTGCCAATCACAACCGGCCTCATCACACTCAGAATTCTGAAAATAAAATCATTCAACATAGTGACAGGAGTTCCATCTTCCCCTAAGCCCACGAACCGATGCTGGTCACCATGCGATATCCTGAAATAATTCCTGCAGATGCTCAGCCTGTGTGTTCCCGTAAGCCCTGTTTCCCGCTGGGATCCGTAGTGTTCTCCCCTAGGCTGTAAAGCCAGCCTGAGGGGGAGCAATCACAGAACCATGGCAGTATTACTGTTCTTTTGACAGAATATTCACTGAACCCTAATTGACTGCTACGAACAGCTTGCAGCTGTGCATGTGGCTGTGTCATTGGAATTGGATGGATTGGGTGGAATTTGCAAAAAAAATTTCCTTTGGGATACTTCTCCACCATTTTCCCCAGCTCTGGACTGTGACTCTCCTTTTGCTGAGAAGAAAAAAAATAAAAATAAAAATAAAAAAACAATAAAAGAAAAAGAAAAAGAAAAAGAAAAAGAAAAAGAAAAAGAAAAAGAAAAAGAAAAAGAAAAAGAAAATAAGAGAAAATAAGAGAAAATAAGAGAAAATAAGAGAAAATAAGAGAAAAAGAAATGAAGGGAAATGAAATGAAGGGAAATGAAATGAAGGGAAATAAGGCAAGGCAAGGGGAAATAAGGCAAGGCAAGGCAAGGCAAGGCAAGGCAAGGCAAGGCAAGGAAAGGAAAGGAAAAAGGAAAGGAAAGGAAAGCAAAAGGGGAAGGGAAAGGGAAAGGAAAGCAAAAGGGGAAGGGAAAGGGAAAAAGGAAAAGAAAGGAATACTTTCCAGGAATCACTCAAAGTTCAGGAAACCCTTGCTGTACGGGAACAGTTGCCAGCTGGAGTGTGCATCATCTCTAAGGAACTCCCATGCACAGCAAAAACCTTCACAAGTGCTGGCGAGAGATGCAAGCGGTGTGGCCCATCCTACCAAAAGCCAGGCAGGCGGCAGCTCGTCCGTGGTGAACAAAACCAGCCCTCTTGTCAGTGAGCAGAAGTTAGGGACCCAAGAGATGGTGGGGAATGGAAAAAGGTCTCTGCTTGGGGCAGAAGGCAAATCCCCTCCCGGGCCCCTGGCCAGCCTGCACCTTGAACCCCTTTTCTGTCACTGTTTTGAAAGGGGTTTGTCAGCATATGTGAAGGATTCGAGTTCCTTCGCACCTTACCTATGGTATAAATTTATTTTAAATGCACCCCTGAATTACTCAGCTGTTTTTCAAGAAATCTCCTTCCCCTCCCCCCGCCCCCCCCGAATTAAGGCAAATAATGTGTACAACTCTGTTCTGATTACTTGGCCTTATTTTTATTTTCCCTATATTAACAGCCTGCGTTTATTTTTATTCACAATTTTCTCTGCATGGGGAAGGACCCTGGCTGCTAACCCTCCCATTTGTCTTCCAAAGGCCCAAAGTGCCACCCATTTCACTGACACCGTCGTCAAAAGATGTTAAGGATGAAGCATGTGTGCATACACCGATGTGTGGGCAGGTTTTTACGCAACCTGACAGAAATATTTAGGCAGTAGGTTTCCAGGGTTAGTGCCACGTGCCCAAATTTAGCATGCGAAAATGCAGTGTGGGTGTTCCAAATCTGCAGGAAACTTGTGCGTCCTTTGGTTGCAATGATGGGCACAAGGCTCACTTGGTTCAGGAGGCAAAGTCCATTCACGTTTGAGGTCTGTGGGTTTGCACTTCCAAGCCATTTAGGTTTGCTCACATATTCCCAGCCCTTGGGATTTTGGCTGGCTGGGACACCTAAAGCAGCACAAGCCCCAAAGCGGTTTAGAAGTGTGTTTATGATAAAGCCACAGGGCATGGGACTGGTAAAGACCACCCGCCCCTCACCACCAGGGCCACTTTCAGGGGGGCAGGGCTACCTAACCAGAACACCCGCTGACGTTCTAACGAGCAGGTCCTTCCCTCTCTTTAATGCAGTGCTTTGCACCCCTTTGGATGCCCTTGGAAGCTTGTCCCATCGTCCTGCAGTTGTCATTGGGGTTCTGGCTGGGGTTTTCTTCAGCAATTAAGCTAAATCTTTAGCTGCTTCATGCTGTTTCTGGTGACTGTGAGCATTCATTCTGCCAGCCTCTCCACCTCAATTGACCACCACCCCCCCAAAAATGCAATCCTTAAAACTGGGAAAAGTACGGGAAGTGAGACTTTACCACCCTTTTAGGCAAAAAAAAAAAAAAAAAAAATCAAATTAATCTTTTGA